ATATTCCTCCCTCCCATGATCTGGCAAAGAGACAAATGTCTTCACAGATAATTGAGAAACTTGTTATTTATTTACAAATCTCCCATATTTTTATCAGTCCAAGAACCAACCATTGCAACCATTTTCTATATTAGGATTTTGGTCGTAAAAAAAATCAAAATCTTGCAGAAGTACTATCAAGTAAAGATGCTCAGCAACCTGGACCATAAAAAACAGACACCACTGCTGAATTAATATTTAGTTGCTTGGACTCTGATTCTCAATTAGGTATTTTACTATGCATTCAGTCCTATCCCTTGGACTTCACATTATTATACTTTTTTTTCTCCAAAGAAACATAGATCAAAGCTGACAAATTAATTAATTTGATGGCATTCAGCTGAGCTTTTTGATGATTGCATGGACGGCTGGCCACCAACTTTATTATTTACTTATATATAAATAGAATTTATAGGCTGCCCAATTTCTATTGGCTCTAGGCAACTTATAATTAAAAAGTTAAAAAAATACAAAATACGGGGAAAAAATCATGAGGGGCCTAAAGAAAACATCTAATTAGAAAAACACATCCAGCAGGGGTTCCATCTTCACCTATCCTGAAGCCTGGGAAAAGAGAGTCTTTAACAGCTTCATGAACATAATCGGTGTTGGAGCCATTGGGATCTCTAGGGCAGGGGTCCCCAACCCCTGGTTCATGGACCGGTACTGGATCACGGCATGCCAGCAACCAGTCCACACAAACAAGCAAAGCCCCATCCGTGGGATGCAGGCAGCATACAAAACCACACACTCTGGTCCGCGGAAAGACCTCTCTCCATGGAACCAGTCCCTGGTGACCAAAAGGTTGGGGACTTCTGCTCTAGGGAAATATCATTCTAAAGGCCAGGCACCATACAGAGAATGTTCTTTCCTTTCAATCTCTTTATTCCTATTTTTATCATTTTGTAACTCCACTTGTAAAAAGTTTAAATATAGGGTTTCTCCATCTTTCTTGAAGAACTCATCAGTTCTCATCTGTGATTACTTTTGAATATTGTTATCTATATATTTTTCTGGGATTCCTTTGAATTTCTTAAATATTTTCTCAGTTTTCTTTTCCTTGCTATCTTTTTAAGATTCCCTCTACTTCTCAATATTCTTGACTGAGATATCATTTCCTATCTTTTCATGCTTGACACTCTAAATCTATTTTCATTCATCATGGAGTCTTCACCTCTATCAGAACAGCTTGTTCTGAAAGTCTCCTGAATCTTTTCTTTGAAATTTTGGGATTTCTTTTGTCATTCAATGTTGCTTCTCTTTTTTGATAGCTCCTGTGTTGACTTCTACACGTAAAGCGAATTAAATATATTCCTTATGTTGATCTTATATTTTGGCTGTATATTCTACAGGTCAAAATATAAGATTGATGTAAGGAACATAGTTTAATCCTCTTGCTAAATAAACTGACTGTAATAGACCTGCAATATATGCTTCTGAACACATCTTTCTAGAGAATGCTTCCTGATTTCTCATTCCAAGTCTATAGGATACAGCAAGTCCATCTTCTTTTCTGAATTATTCTCTATTTTTATCTAAAGGGATACCTTGGTACTTTACTTTAAAACTCATTGCATTTGGTATTCAACAGATTTTGACGGGAAAATTTCATCCTGATACTCATTGTTTGTTTAGTACTCAACACACAAGCTAGAACTTGTCGGTGTCAGCTGACTTGTGACCCACTACATCATTCCTTATGGGAAAAATTTGTTTGGTACTCATCATTTTTGGTATTCATCGTGCCTCCTGGAATCAATTAATGATGAGCACCACTGCATATAAAAACTCCAGTTGATTCCTAAATATGAATTAGAAGTAGACAAATGTTCTGAATGTATTAAAATGGGAATTTGCTTGGACAGCCTGTGTGTGATCATTCCTCTAGATATCTATGTGGAACATTCAGTGATTTAAATTTATTCCATTCGATTAGCCATTTGCCTCAGGTCAAAAGTGGTTTGTTCCACTGAATTCAGTCAATCTATTCTGCAATCATTACACGTTTTGAGTGTACCTTAAGAGTTCACCTGGCCCACGTGTGCCATCAGCAATTCAATTTAAACTAGGCTAGCTCCATTTAAAATCCCTCTAGAGTGAAGGCCAGCTTCTCCTTATTAAAGTAAGCTTTGTGTCTTTGACAACAAAAGGTACAAGGATGTATAGAGCAAAATTATTTGCATTTCTGAAGAATATTAACAATAAAAAAACTTCAGTGGAAACATTTTGGTTGTGGCCTTGAACAGGAATAAGATGTGCAGAGGAAATTGCAAAGAAAAGTAGATGCTATTGTTTTGACAGAATTTATTTTTGGATGAAAAATAACACAGGGAAAATAAGTAGAATTCTGTTTTGGAATTTTCCCCAACCCCTTTACCAGCAGCACTGTAGAATGCATCTGTATTTCTTCCAAAATAACAAAATATGTTGCATCTGTACGCAAGTGCCTGCTCTGGCCTCATGTTGCACGTATATATGTTTGTGAGAATGTGTGCACTGTGAAATACAAGATCGACTTCAAATGAGCCGCTCTGAGTCACACGATCAGAATATTGTAGAGACTTAGAATGGAGCAATCGCCAATATTCTGAGCTGCTGTCCAAGTGCCTCTCCCACAGGAATGCAGATGGAGAATTTTTCCTGGATTTCCCCCCCCCCCCGCAGTACTTTGCTGGATCAAGCCCATTTCAGATTCACGCCTTCCTTTTGCCACCTTCTCCCCCCATACTAAGTTTGTTCCATTTTCATTTTTGGAGAGCTATCCTGCAGGCTGAGTTTCAAGCCCCATTACCTCATTTATTTCCAACACATCATAGGGTTGGAAAAAATAACAAGAGAAGACAGTAAGTCTGAAGAAAGAGACAAGGGTTAACCTAATTTAGACCTTATTTCCAGACTGATTTCTGAATCGGTCATAGGTGAGATAGATAGATAGATAGATAGATAGATAGATAGATAGATAGATAGATAGATAGACAGACAGATAGACAGACAGATACAGACAGACATTTTTTTTACTGTGGGCACAATGGCACACATTAAAAATGAAATTTAATTGCTTGCTCTCAAAGTGTACACATATATAACACAACACATATTTAAACATACTATATACAATACTATATATACTATATAAATAGAAACTCACTGTGTATAGAAGCGAGTTTTGGTTTTCGTTTCCAAAGAAATGGTTATTCCCCACCCCTTCCCCTCTCCTAAATACCTTTTTAAACATGCAAATGGTTCAATAAAGCAACAGGGAAAAGATGCAGCAGTGTAGTAGTTGCATTAGTGTGCCATGCCACAGCTTCATTTAAACAACAAGGGTGAAATGGGACAGTGCCCTCACTCTAATTTTCATTGAACAGCTCACACAAAGCTGAATTCACTACAGTTGTTATCCTTCCCCCACCATAAACAACTCTAGAGAGAGACTTTTTCTACCATGGCGCTATCATTTAGCTATAATGGAATATTTCTTAGGATGTAAAAAGGGAATACAACCCAAAAGATTTTTTTTTTAAAAAAATGAAAGTATCGCTTTTTCATAAATTCATACTTAGGCACATATGCGATGGGCTGGATCTGAATAACAGAATAGACAAGACTATAAGAGGTATTGCCAAAGGTGAGAGGCAGATTTACATTGGCAAACTGCATAGAGACCTTATTTACAGACGGTTAAACTCTTCTTTTGCTCCCAGAAAATAAGTGCTATTCATCAAATGCCGAAGTGCTTCACTTTAATCTCTCTTTCTGTGCATCTCCCTCTCACACATACACAATTCATAAATGCATATATGCTGCATCACAATCTCCCATTCTATTTCCATCTTCCTGATTTTGACAGCCTCCTGCTGTCCTTCTTTCTGCTTTCTGAATATATGGCATTTTCACATTCACGGCTTTTTACATGTGCCAGCTGTCAGGCTTAGCCCAAGAGCAACATAGAGCACTATGATTGTTCAGTTCTTTATTTGCTTACACCAGAGGTGCCCAACTCTTTGGGCACCAGGGACCAGTTCTGTGGAGAAAGGTTTTTCCACAGACCGGAGAGTGCGTAGTTTTGTGTGCTGCCTGCATCCCAAGGATGGGGCTTTGCTTGTTTGTGTGGACCGGTTGATGGCATGCCACGGCCCAATACCGGTCCGCAGACTGGGGGTTGGGGACCCCTGACTTACATCATATAGACCAGTGGTTCTCAACCTGTGGGTCGGGACCCCATTTGGGGTTGAACAACCATTTCACAGGAGTCGCCAAACAATGCAGTCCGCCATTTTCCCCCCCTTTTCCTTAGCTGTGCTAATCTCTTTTATTCTATTGGCTTTTGAAAGCCAATAGAATAGACTCTCTTGAATAGAGTCTAATTCTATTGGCTTTCAAAAGCCAATAGGAATTGTCCAGGCTGTCTCTGCCCTGCTGAGCCCGCCAAAAGTCCCATTCTGTAAACGGTGCTGCACCAGTTGAGTAGTCCTCAACTTACGATCGGTTGGGGGTCGCGGCATTAAAAAGGTTGAGAACCACTGATATAGACAGAATCTTGCCAGACTAAACTTATACTAATGTATTCTTAACAGCTATAACTCTGGGAGATTCTTGGGAGTGGCTATGTCAAATCTTTCTCTTTTTCCGATCCAGCTCTGGATTGTACAGCTTCTTATCTTGTCATCCTCCTTGAAATATGCACATCCTTCCTGGGAAATTGCCTCTTGACTATAGTCCATCACACCACCTCCCTCTTTGTGAACGCAATCTACCACATCAGCAAAAACCATGCCATTTGGGGAGTATGACCTACACTTCTTTCTGATTGCTAGTCTCTTTATTTAAATGTGTGTTATTTTTTAAATTTTGCTTGCGTCCGATATCCAGAAATGCAGGTTAATTATAATGGGAAGGGGAAATGATCCTGTCCCTATGTCTTGTTCACTCAATCAGAGCTAACAGAGAGTCAGACTTACTTGTTCTGATGTTTCGAGCCCTTCAAGTGTGCATGATACTGTTCTATTGAGTTTAGAGTGACGTTACAGATGTTGCAAGTGTATGTCCGTTTCAGACCTGTGGACAGAATATAGAACAGGATGAACTGCACCATCTTATGGAAACAGCCGACGTGAGAGCTGCATTTACCCCAATAGGCTACTGTTATCCTGAAATCATCCTCTCTTATGGAAGTTCCCACAGAAATTTTCTAGGTCTGATTTTCCAAACTCTCACAGAAAGTCATCATCTTCCATAGCTAGAAGACATTGAAAATTGCAAAGGAAGCTTCTAGGTCAGGGGTAGGCAACCTTGGCTCTTTTATGACTCATGGACTTCAACTCCCAGAATTCCTGAGCCAGCCACGAGTCATAAAAGAGCCAAGGTTACCTACCCCTGTTCTAGGTCTATTCTTCTTTTCCCAGGCCTCCATCTTTAGAGCCAGAGATTCCATTCCTGGTTCTTAATCTCTGAGTTGACAAAAGGATGGCCATATTTTTAGGGTAAGTCATCAATAATATCTTGTAGATCAACTGAAAAAAAATTTTTTTTGCATAACTGTATCACAGCATATGTATGCATGTGAGCATGTGCATGAAAGAGAGATTAATTATTGTGAGCTAATTCATTTTCAGGGAACAAGGGGAGATTTACTTTTGTATAAATAAGTAAACTTCTTATGACCTTCAAGATCTCATCTTCTGCTGCTGTTCCTTCGTTTTGACTCATGATGTCCTTGCCTAGAAAAATTTGCATTCCAAATGACTTCTTTCCCTATGCACTCTTTCTGTTATTATGTACTGTTCTGATTGTGCTACATAGAAATTTTCACTGCAGCATGTGAAAAGGATGTGGAAGAAATAATGGCTCAGTCCTTTAAAACAGCCATGTCAGAACACCACCAAAGTAGTTAATAAGAAAACAATTACTAACTGAAAACCGAATTACAATTCTGGGGAGAAATGGCAAACTGAAGATGCTCCGTTAAAACCCTCTGGACAAGGAGAGGGCTTAAGATCATCCATAAATACTCCATGCATTTGCTTCTTCTGAGAAGAAACTCCAATGTTTCCTCAAAATTATTATTAAAAAATGAGAATAACCGTGTGCACAGTTCTCTCGGCAGATATCTGAGGGGTTTCATGATGCTTGGATTGTGTCCTTAGTGTGCAACATTATATTATATTTCCCTATTGCCTGAACAGATGGCTGTGCAGCCATTATCAACTTAACATATTTTACAATGAATGTCTGAAATTTGGTGACAATCCCAGATTAATTTTGCAAATGTTGAGAAACTGAGAAGATTTTAGGAGTAAATCTTGACAGTTATCAACATGTGACTGCCAGCATTCATTGCTGTATTTCTGAAAGGTGAAGAAATAGGTAAACTAAATAGGCAGCTGCCAATATCCATACTGCTGAGGTCCTTGTCTATATTAATACCTCTTTGTTTGTGTCAGTCTTGCGAGGTAGTCCAGACAAGAAGCAAATCTAGGAACTGTTAGTCTAACTTTGCCTTGTGCAAAGATCAATGGTGCAATGGAAGACACAGTTGCTGATCAATGGTGATAGACTAGGAGAGGTTAATATCAAGAGAGAAATCTTTCAAGGAGACTCACTATCACCAGAGTTGTTTGTCATTTCATTGATTCTTCTGTCAACAATACTGAAGACCATTGCTGTCAGGCCAACATAAAAAACCATCTCCTTTATCTGGACGATCTAAAGCTATATGGAGAGACACCTTCTGAAATAGAATCACTGCTCAAGACAGCCAAAATGTTGCGATAGAGTTTGCAACCTTTACCATCCACAGGGGAAAGATAGTGATAACTGAAGTAATTAAGATGCCCTCTGGAAAAGAGCCTGGATGAAGAAGGCCACTACAAGTATCTGAGCATGCTGGAAGTTGACAATATGGAGCACACTAAAGTCAAGAAACTTAGTAGTGAATACTTCTTGAGAATGAAGAAAATCTTAATGTCTAAATTTTATAGAGGGAATACTATCAAGGTTATTAACATCTGGGCACTTCTAGTCATTAGATACACAGCTGGATTAATGGACTGGACTCAAGCAAAACTAGATGTCATAGGGACAAAGAAGACCAGAAAAATAATGTCAAAGAATCGTGCCCTTCATCCACACAGCAAAGTTGAACAATTCCACTTACCACAAAGCACAGACAGGCATGGAAAGTTCCTCAGAGATCTAAAGAACAAAAAAGGGCACCAGAAAATCACTGAAGGAGATTGAAGAAGATGCACTGAAGCTTTATACCATGAAGGCTTACTGAACACTAAAGCCAACATGAGTTCTAGGCCATGTGATGCTTTCAAAATAGATTTATTCCGAGAATTAGCTTAACCAAGTGAGAAAATCAATCAGAAACAAACAAACAAAATCTGCATGGATGCAGGACTACTTTTAGCTGCTGAAAAAGGGATGAAACAATGAGAAACTTTTAGACGACAATGTCAAAATTCAATAAAAACTGTTATTCCATAGAAAAGAGCAGAGAAAAATCCATCTGCACCTGGCAGTGGGTCAAGAGCACCAAAGCTCCTCTCCTTCATTCTTCTGCATTTGCTTTGGCACGGCTACAATAATGTACACAGCCTACTCTGGATTCAGGTGTTGGTTTTGATCAACTCCTATTTGTGAAAAGAACCGCCTCTTTATTGATTCACAAAAAAAGCCATTGGGGAAGTGAAGTGAAAACATTGGGGGAGGCAGGGAATGAATTGGTTTTAAAAGGAAAAGAATTCAGTTGCTAAAAATCTTGTAACCCTCCCTCTTTCATCTCCATAAATCTTACTAATAAGATACTGCAATTATCCTTTTCAAGAACCTGACAGTCACCTACCACCATAGTGATTCCCAGTTCCTCAGAAATGACAGAGAAAGGGAACACATGGCCTCCTCTCCATGTTCGTGTTTCCCTGAATATATATAATTAACACAGGGAGTGTTGGCCTAGATAGGATCTGGAAGAGAGGGCTCACTCCTGATTCTGTAACTATTTTAACATTCCCCACACGGTTCAGGGGAGATACTACAGAAGTCTTCAGTTATCTGAAAGAATGTCACACAGAAAGTCTAGACTTAGAAATATAGAATCACAGAATTGGAAAGGATTCCAAAAATAATTTGGTTCAACTTTCTGCAGTGTACAAGAGAACCTGCACGTCTGTAACAGAAAGCTGTCCAACTACTTCAAAAACTCCAGAGATGAAGAACTTACTATCTTCACAAGTAGACTGTTCCATTGCTGTCTAAGATCATCTAATCAGAAAGATTTTCCTTATATTTAAACAACATCCAGGGACCTGCAGTTTAAACCTATATCTATATTGTAGTTAATGAGGTTTATCCAAGGCGCAATGATTGCCAATTGAAAACTACAGAATGTTGGACTTCAGTTTTAAGAAGGTGTGATGGACTGCAGTCTGGATTCCCGGGTGGGAGGGGCTGCATTCCAGAAGACCAAGAAACAGTGAAGTTCAGATAGTTTGGCTGGGGGAAAGAGAGAGTTAAGAAGGCTCCTCCCTAACTGTTCCCTGAGTATATCTGTAGTGATGCAAATAATTGCTTTAGTTTGGCAAGATTTCTGTCTGTAGGTGAAGAACAATAAAATAAACTGTTCAGAAGAACCTCAGTGGTTTTTCTTGGTTTCTGGAGCCCGGCTGAAAGCCAACCCCATGTGAATGCTCGAAAAAGCTTCCTAGCAGTTTGGCGGTGTAACCAATTACTCCGATAAAGGATGGATGTGTTGAAGTGAAAACTCATCATGCATCTGTCTGGGGATTCTGCACTGAGGGATTGGAATTGAGGACATAAATGCTCCTTTCAACTCTACAATTGTATTTTTGCCAATTTCAAGAATCCATTTAAAAAGTAAGATCTGACTGCTGGTGAGAAATTGGAATTGTAGATTTCCCTCTCTTTAGCTTTTATGCTTTGCTGTAATACTACAGGATTAGATCTTGAACGCTACGGAAGTTACTCTTCCACAAGTACCCAAACTAAATTGGAGTCTTTAATTTGATTGCAGTTTAGGTAACTGAGCTTCTTTTTGTACCCAGCTCTTTAGCAGGAATCAGATACGATAACAAAGAGAGAATCTCATAAAACGGGCTTTAATCCTTACATGGAGAAAACAGATGAAATGTACCATGGGTGGAATCATAAAAACTGCTTAGCCTGGTTATATTAAAATCTGCTAGGATGAATCTTTAATATGTGACGTTCTGCTTATCAGTTGCTCTCTACTCTGAGAGGAACTTAATGAGCAGAGGGCATATTTGGAGTAGATGTGAGGACATTGCAACTTAAATCTCATTTTTGGTCCAATATGCTTAGAAAATGTTGTAACCTTCAGAAGTAGTAAAGTCTAAAGGAGAATATTTGTCGCTCAAGAGTTGAACGGTGGGGTCTTTGGTGCTCTCTGGGCTTGGTGGTTTTCTTGCGGACATTTCATTACCCAATCTAGATAACATCATCAGTGCTAGTAAGGAGTAGGATTTGCTCTCAGTCTATATTCTAGTGTGCTTACCCTATCCCACCTGTGTGGATGGGAGTGGCCTTGGAGGTTCTTTGATTGGGTTGTTTACTAGTAACTTGACTAGGGTATTGTTTACTTCTTGATTGTTGGTTTGATGTTAATCTTGGGAGTTAATCTATGCTCATCTGGGTGCTGATTGCTGGCGAGGAGGTGTTTTCATCTTTTTGTTCCCATTTTGGCTTGTGGATTGTTTCTTTTGCATAGTATGTAGATATTGTTTAAGCCTATGTGTCTATTGATAGGTAATTTGACAGAGTGCCAGGCTTCTAGAAATTCCCTGGCATTTTGGGACTTGGCTTGGTCTAGGACAGGGGTAGGCAACCTTGGCTCTTTTATGACTCGTGGACTTCAACTCCCAGAATTCCTGAGCCAGCTATGAGTCATAAAAAAGCCAAGGTTGCCTACCTCTGGTCTTGTTGTTAATTGCAAAGTCATGTCCAACCCATCACGACCCCATGGACAATGTTCTTCCAGGCCTTCCTGTCCTCTACCATCTTTTGGAGTCCATTTGAGCTCACGCCTACTGCTTCAGTGACTCCATCCAGCCACCTCGTTCTCTGTTGTCCCCTTCTTCTATTGCCCTCAATCTTTCCTAGCATTAGGCTCTTCTCCAGTGAGTCCTTCCTTCTCATTAGGTGGCCAAAGTATTTGAGTTTCAACTTCAGGATCTGGCCTTCTAGGATGGCCATAGTTTCCTAGATGAAACTATAGTTAAGTCTGTCCATATGTTGTGAAATTAAAGAGTTTTTATCATGCCTTCTGACTGCTAGTAGTAAACTCTCTCTAAGGCTGGCCTTTTCCTGGTCACAATATATTTCTTAGTTTCACAGTGGGTCTTAACCCAACACTGTCACAAGAAGTAAGTAGGATTATTCTACCTGTCAGTTCAATTACATGGATGCAATCCAAGATAGACTTATTTAAGGCCCACTTACACTTCTGAACTGTAGAAATCATATATAGAGATTAAATGGATTTGGAAGTAATATGTGGGATGTAGGATTAAGAGAGAGAACCATTTATTTAAAAAAAAACAGCTTGGAATGTTTAAAAAAACCCCTAAAAATTCTTTTAGGAAGAAAATACCATAGGTTTATGAATAAAAGCAAACAACCTTAAAGATATTTCAACTGTACTTGTTCAATATTCAGATATACGTAATGTTGTTTGGGTGTTTCTGCAATAAATAGAAATATCTGAAAACAGAGATTTCTACTTGCTGTAGAAATCCTACTGTTATCTGTATCAGTCCAAATATGAGACATTTTCAGTCTCTTGAATAAGACAGAAATGTGGGAAGGACATGTATTTTGTCAAATGACATGACAGCTGGCTCTTTCTCCTGGTGGCTTTCAGATGTGATGGGCGGAATCTATTCTGGTATCTCTCTGGTGGCTTTCATAGCATGGAACACTACTATGTTGAGGGTAGTTTTCTAAGTCACAGTTGCTCATTAGCCACGTAACAACAGCTCCAAGGCCCAAGACTGCAATTGCTGCCTTAGCATGTTCGTTATTTTTAATTAATGTTCTGTCAACTTCTTAATTCTGTTTTGCTATTGTTTTTAAGAAAATCCAGGATAGGGTTTTTATTTTATCATTTTACTGTTTTTCTACATGCTTTATTTATTGGTTTTCTGACTGTTGTGAGCCACCCAGATTTGCTAAGATGGGCAGGAATATAAATCTTTTAAATCAATCAGCCAACCAACCAATCAATTTCCACTGAGCAGCATACTGTAATCTGGGAAGCAAAAATGGGGGTGCCCTTATCCCTCTTGGCAAGCTGCCTTCTGTTTTCACAACTACTCAATCAAAATATCATCTAGTCAAGCTGCAAATTCTTTCCAGACCACTTTCACAGTTTCTGTAGAAAATTTCCAGACTTGATTATTCCTTCTATTAATAGTGTGCATTTTCTTCTAGATCAGTGTTTCTCAAACTTGGCCACTTCAAGACATATGGACTTCAACTCCTAGAATTTTCCCTATGGGTACTGGAGAATTCTGGGAGTTGAAGCCCATATGTCTGAAAGTGGCCAAGTTCGAGAAATACTGGTCTAGATCTTCCTCTAACTTTGTGCTGCTCTTGGCAACGCAAAGAAGCTACAATTGCCTAAAAGCAATAGCAATGAAGGGGGAAAAAATACTGTTCAGGGGAAAAGCATCAGAACGTGTGTTGAAGCATGTGCCGTTACCTAAAGAGATCCACTCATAGCAATAGAAATAGCACTTAGACTCATATACTGCCCCATAGTGCTTTATAGCACTCTCTTGGTGGTTTACAACATCAGCATGTTGCCCCCAACAATCGGGGTCCTCATTTTGCTGACCTCAGAAGGATGAAAGGCTGAGTCAACCTTGAGCCAGTCAGGATCGAACTCCTGACTGTGGGAAGAGTTTGCCTGCAACACTGCATTTTAAACACTGTGCTACCAGGGCTCAGTGTATGGATCTGCTCTTGATATTTAAATCCTTAAATTCACATACAGAATGGGAGTTTTGGAAAATGTTGCCCCAACATATCTAAACAGCACAAATTGTTGCATTCAGCTCACAATTTTTTGGGGGGAAAACTATTCAATCTCTCAGCATATTTTTATTTGGTATCTCCAAAAAGTAACCTATGTATATAATAATTGTTCTGCA